AGATCCAACTCCAGTTCATGACACATACATGAAGGACAGCACCCAGGGAGCCAACAGCGCAAGGAAGCCACCCGGAGAATTCGGACCATGGGACCCGGTGCTGGGAAACAAACCAGAGCTCTGTGACAGGCCGTGAGGCCACCAGTCTGCAATAAAGGAGATTTTAGGTGCATACCTTGTTAAAGCCTTGTTTGGGTCCTGATTGGAACAAACCAATCTTTTACAGACATTTTGGGGAACAGTCAATGAAATTTGAATATAAATTAGGTATGACATTATATTGATAAATTACTACTAATTCTATTAGGTGTGATAATGGTATTGTCATGTAGAAAAATGTCATTTTTAAAGATGTGCTCTGATGTATTTCAGGGTAACATGTCATGATGTCAGAACTTTACTTTGAAATTTTAAAAAGATAAATCACCTGGCGGGCGTAGCTCAGTGGATTGAGCGCGGGCTGTGAACCAAAGCATTGCAGGTTCGATTCCCAGTCAGGGCACATGCCTGGGTTGCAGGCCACGGCCCCCAGCAACCACACATTGATGTTTCTCTCTCTCTCTCTTTCTCCCTCCCTTTCCTCTCTAAAATAAATAAATAAAATCTTTAAAGAAAAGATAAATCAAATTTGGATAATGTAAATAATTGTTTAAAATATATGCTAGACATAATGGGTTAGTTTTATGCTATTCTCTGTATTCTTCTGTAAGTGTGAAATTTTCACAATAAAAATTGGAGATAACTCATCCTACCTGCCATTTTACAAATGGCCACATGAGGACAGCAGAGTATCAGGCTGGCTGTGAGCCCAAACTTGGAAGAAGAAATGCAAAAGAGCAATCATCCATTTCTTCTCCTTTTTTAAAAATCCTCACCTGATGATACATCCATTGATTTTTACAGAGAGAAGAAAGGAGAGAGCAAGAGAGAGAAACATCGATGTGAGAGAGAGACATCAGTCGGTTGCCTCCTGGGTATGCCCAGACAGGGGATTGAACCCACAACCTCCGCAGGTGCCCTGACACAGGACGAGTGCTCCAACCAACTGGGCCACACCCTTGGCCAGGGCCCCACTCAGTCTTTATTCATTTATTTCCTTCCATCCTTGCATGTGACTTCCTAACGGGCCCTGGACTGGGCCTATGGAGGACAGAGGGTCAAATTAACCCCTGTCCCTGCCATTCTGTAAATAGCGTGTGGGGTTCAGGAAGGGGCAGGCAGCAGGAGTCTGTCTTGGTGGGCTGGGTCCGTGCAGACAGAGGTCTCCCTATGTCTGACATCACTGGAGTGGAGACCTTGGCTGGGCATATCAGGAACAAAAAAATTAGTATGGGGGTGGGGTGAGGGTAGGGACCTGCTACTTGTGTGAGTTGACTCTTTAACATGCATTCAGATTTACACCCTTATAGGAGACCGTTCTGTGTGGAGTGGGCCCAGCTCCCACTCGGAAAGGCCAGTGGAAATCAAGGTCCAGTACACAGGACCCACTCCCACGGATAGGTTCTCCCATGGGGAATCAGGCCTGCATTGTACCTGGGCCACTTTGAGACTTGCTTTTTGCTAAAACTCCCTCACCCTGAATTGAGGCAGCAAACATTTACTGCATATCTTTAAAGTAACTTCCTAAAATCTATGCTAAACCTCCCAAGGATGAGTGTAACCAGTTCAACCACTTTTCCCTTCACATTTACAAATATCCTTCTTTTTTTATGTAATTAGCAACATCCTCTCCTTTGTTTTCTGTAAAAGGTAACCACCTAAAGCAAACCTGTGCATAGTAAATGAGGACCATCCTCAATGTAATGTGCCCAGAAAAGCAACAAAAGCTTGTCGAGGCAAGGGTTGGAGTGCTCTCCCCTCAAGAGCGTGGCCATGCCGTCCCTTTTCCTCCACAGGACTCGGTAGTGCATGTGAATTTGTCTCATATCTTATCCACCACACCTCGGACACTGTGGGCTGATGTCTGAATTACATGCTTATCAACTGTGTGATCTTAGAAAAGTCACTTTACCTCTCTGAACATCATGGGGCTTATACTATATAGCTTTTCTGTTGAAAAAAAAAAAGAGAGAAGTGGAGAGACAGAACTTGTTGGCATTGTTGGAACAGCTGGATCATCCTTTCTGGATTCTGTTTTATTTTCATTCAGATGGGGCAAAAATTATTCCTTTCCTTTAAGCCAGGCTGATTGGGGTTTTGAATCCTGACAATGCACCCTGTACAGCATGACATAAAGCGGAAAGGGCCAAGCGATTTATCAGGGCATCGAAGACCTGTGAGCACTGGTCTAGGCTCAGTGAAAGAACAGGCATCTGAAGAAGGAAAATCTCATTCCACAGATGACAGGACTGCAAGTGCTTAGAAGGAAGGTCTGCCGTTCTGCTCCCCGTGCGGGCCAGTGATCCCCATATCGGGAAGCATTCAAATAAGCCCTCGGGGGATGACGTGGGGGATGTGTGGGTGTAGGGGTAAAGCACAGCTAGAAATCCTGAAACACAATGGAGGGTGGTGCTCGAGGCCCAATAATAAAATTCCTCCATCTCCTTTGTCAGACCTCAGGTACAGAGAAGCAGGTACCTTATAATCCAGGGTTCATGGCACTGCATCATAGCCACCCCCCCCCATATGGCATTTAAATCCTCAATCACTACTCAAGCCCTCCATCGTTAAAAAGCAGCTGTAATCTAGAAGCCAGAGATGATTTTTTTAATAGCAATAAACAGGACTGGGTCATGCCCTCAGGAAAATCCTTCAAGGGCTTCTCATTGCTCTGAATAAATTCTCACTGTGGCTCAAGGGGGCGCTGCATATGCCTCCCCCTTGCCAGCCTGTGTCCACCTCTCTCGCCCCCAGGATCCAGCCCCGCCAACCTTCTCCAGTCTCACACACCAAGCTCTTTCTCACCCCGAGGCCCTGAGGTAGGAAGGCCCCAGTGGGTTCCAGGACAGGACGGCTTAGCTGGAGAATTGCTGAGGAGGGAGAAGAGATAAGCTGACTGAGATGGGCAGGGGCAGAGTCCTGGGTGGGGTGCTTTGTGGGCCACAGTGAAGGGTCCAGAGATCTGATTCCAGGCCCCTTGGGGTGGCTGAGGAAGGTTGCAGGTGAGCCCAGTGCTGGTTCTGTAAGACAGCCTTCCTTTATCCTTTGCTTCTTGACTCCCAGACTGGACTTCCTGTGGTGGCTGCAAAGGCCTGGGGATCTCTTACCTCCTCTCTGTCCCCTCTTACAGTCCTTTATTTAAAGACAGCCTCCCCTCAGCACCAAAAGGAAAGCGGTCACTGCTACTGTCCATCCCTCCCCAGCCCTCCAACCCCCTACCCGTGGCCCCCATCCTTCTCCTCAACCTTCCACAGGGAGAGCTCTTCCAAGGCCTCTCCAGGGGCAGGTCCCCAGCGTGCACTGAGGCAGTAGTGGAGCCATCTCTAGGCTTCTCCAGGGAATTGTTCCATATAAGCTGCTCACTTGTGCCGGAGGCAGGATGGCCAGGGAAAGCACGGGATCCACCCTGCTTTCCTTGTTTGAAGCTGAGCAGCAGCAAGCAGCAGCAGACCACCCAGCCCCACCTCAGCTGCCCTGTGCCTGGCACACGGTCCGAGAGGGAGGTATCTTAGGTCAAACAAACCCAGACTGGTGAAGCTTACAGTTCCTCGCTGTTCTCTGCTCCAAATCAGGCCCAGGGGCCCATCGGGTTCTCAAGCCTGGGAGAGAATAGGGAAGACCTGGCTTGGGAGGCAGTCTAAGGGGAAACCCCAGCTGCGCCTTCCTAGCAGTGTGTCCTTTGGCAAGTTACCTAACTGCTGTATGCTGTTTCCTCCTGCATAAGGTGAGAAGACCTACATTAAGGGGGAGAGGGGGTTGGTTGAGAGGATTGGTGAGTTAGCTTTTACATGTGAAAGGGCTCACAAGAATGCCTGGAACACAGCAAGCACTCAAATCACGTTGGCTATTATTACTCTTTCCTCTTTTTCTATTTGATTGCAAGAAACAGAAACCCACTCACCTTGCACCCAGTCAGGGCGCTGAGTGTCAGGCCTCCCAAAGAGGAAGAGGCTTTAGGACAGGTGCACAGTGTGGGGGCCTGGAATTAGCAACAGGCCTCCCCCGAGCATCAAGTGGCTACGGTGGGAATAGCAGATTCCCCAATGCTGGCAGAGACCTTGTTCTCTCTGCAAAGGAGCCCGTGCACACAGACCCACCAGACAGTTTATCAGAAAGCGAAGGCCCTGGAGTTTTCCTTGACGGTGGCAGGCAGCAAGCAAGCTACCCTAATCGTGGGACCCTGCCACCAGTCCCAGTGCACTCAGCGTGCTCAGTGACAGGCAGTGCTGCAAACTTGTGAACAGCAGGACTTTGGAGTCAGAAAGACAGACTGGGTTCAAATTCCAGCTCCTTCACTTCCTAGCTTAACCTTGGGTGAGCCACATAATTTCTCAGACCTCAGTTTCCTCATCTGCAGAACAGGATTTAAGAAGGGCTGTTTGAGATTTTGATGAGAAAATGCATGTAGAGGGCCTAATCTAATACACGGGACAGAAATAAGTAATCAGTAAATGCTGCACACACATACAAAGAAGCATAGATAAGAAAAAACATCCGAGGGGCTGTATCTCATGTGTGTAGACAACAAAAGCTAAAATGTTTCATTTGCCCTCACACTGGAGATCAGTATCCTGTGGCCTCTGGTGTTTTGTGTCAAACTTTGGAAGGCGCTCTGCAGACAGCTCCTCCCACTGGCCTCTGCTCCCAGCTCTTGCTTCCAGCAGGCAGCCCACAGTCAGCTTCAACGAGCTGTGCAGCTGAGGAAGCCCTCCTTCGAAACTCAGCCTTCCCCTTGTGGGATCTGAGCTGAAGGACATTTCAGAGACGGTTCCTGGGAGAAGTGCATGGCGAGTGTGGACTGGACGGCAGGGGCACCCCGGGACCTCCCCACCCACTCTGGGTCACCTCACCCTTTCAAAAAGCCACTGGAGCGCAAGTCTGAGAAAAGTTAAGCTGTTTTATTTCACAGGATAGCTCCACATCAAACCAGCAGGCACCATCAGAATATGCGACAGAGGATCCAGTCAGACACTCCACGGGACGGGCGTTTGGTAGTAAGGTGGAGAAACGACATCCGGGAGAGGGCAGCACTTCGCACCACGTGGGGACAGGCAACCAGCAATTTCCAAGGGTGATTTCATTTTTTTGTTTGTTTTGTTTTTTTCCTGACACAGTTTGGGAAGGAAGGAAACCAAAGGAAACAAAATAGACCAGCCACTCTGAAGCAATCAGAACCAAACCTATTGCCAAACCGTGTAAACAGTCACACTGCCGGGAACTAGAGCCTGAGCAGGAACTCTAGCAGAATCTTCCACCTAAGGAAGGCAAAGTGCGCTCTGGTTGTTCCGGTTCCAGAAACAGCTTTGTTAGTTGCTTGGGACAGTTCACACAGAAAGGAGGTGTCAGCAAGGGGCAGTGTTGGCCATTCGGCCGGTCCCAGAGGGCAGGACAGCGGGACACTGGCAGATCAACCTCAGAGAGGCCAGGGGCACTCAGACCTGATAGCCAAGTCCCTTCTCTCAGCTCCCCTAGGCAGCTTTGGGTATGTGGGGAATTCTCTACACGGCTGCTCAGGAGAGAGGAGACCCCAGAGAACCGGGGAAGTTGACATGAAACGTCAGCATTAGCTCTGCATAGCAGAAAATCAGCTAAGCAACACCTCGGCTCGCCCCTTCCTGCCTTCTCCTCCCCGCCATCCTGAAGCCAAACAGGGTCCCCCGTCGTGGTTGTGAGCCGGCCATTCTTCTTTCTGGGTTTCTCAGGAGAATGAGGCATTTGCTCTAGTGTGGAACCATCTGGATATGTGAAAAGTTAGGAATAGAAAGACTGAGAGGAAGAACCAGTGCATTAGTCTTTGTGGTTTTCCATCAGCCGTGTGGGCACCGAGTGCCGAGTAACGACCAGGTCACAGGAAGCCCGCTGCACCTGTGCCTCCTGAACAAGAAGGAAATATAAGCGACAAGGCACTCCAAGGGCCTCTAACAGAGAAGCCAGCCCATGTTGAGGCCCTTCCCCACAGTGGCCCCCTCTGTACCACAAACCAGTTCTGAAGGGTTTATAAGGCAGATCTCTGAACTGCTGGTTCCAGCTGGTGGCCAGAGGATGGCTCCATTTCCCTGTGTCTCTTCTCACTCGGATTTCGTCACGTGACAGACACTGTTTATCCCTTGGGAATCCACTTCTCTCTTGCCCATTGGCCTGGTGACCTCAGAGGTCAGACTCCCAAGACTAATGCCCAAGCATACGAGTCCCTCCCATTGTGCGCTCTGTCCGGGTTCAAAGGCGCTTCAAGGTGAGAAATCGTTAGCACTGAAAACAAGGAAAGGCAAGTATTTTTCATAGAATCCCACAGCTCAGAGCAGCTCTTTAAGAGGACAGGGAAATAAAGGGAGAGAAGGAGAGTGGCATTGGAAGCACGGCTTGTTCTCAATTTGATCCGAGGAAGGTCTTTAGCGGCGGCTGGGCCCCGGGGCCCGGGAAACTCGACCAGGAAGGAATTGTCTTTGGTCAGTTTTAAATGAACGTCTTGCTGGTTCATTCCTAGAATAGACTGAACATCGGTTACACATAAAGACAAAAGGCTTGACTTCAGGGTAAGTTGAAGGTTAAGAAAAGAAATTCTGTGAAGCCAAAAAAAAAAAAAAAGCCCGTTATCAACAAACTGATCAGTACAGCTTCCAGCAATGGTGATGAACAAGTAGGTAAACACCACTTCCCCTTGTACAATTGGTTATATTGAGGACTACTAACTAGGTTACTACATTTCCCCCACACTCACTGTACAGTTAGGTTTCTGGTATTTGTTTACATTGAACTATCTACTAGGTGCAAAGATTTGGTGAGTGGCATTGGCTATAATTTAATTGTCACCTTTTAAATATTACAATTTCACATTTTAACAGTTACTTCCCAGCATTTAAGCAAATACAGCAATATCTAGTGGACTAACACAGGCAGGAGTCAGGAAGAGAGCTGATGCCCAGCGCCCGTGGACGGGCCTGGTGCCTGTGGAGGGACGGAGACATGCAGAGTGCCGGGTGAGGAAGTGGGGGGGGGGGGGGTGTCAGGAAAGTATTTTTCCATTTGGTTCTGCATCAAGGCTCAGATTTGGGGCTGGATGAGCGAGGTGTGAGCTTCTCTAAATGTAAACTCATCAGCCTTTTCCCAAAGGAAAAACAGGTGCTTAAAGAAAACAGCTACAGCTCTGCCTTCAGGTAATTCAGTAAAAGGCAGGCCCATTTTTCAGGAAAGAAAAATGAAGTTAGTCCATTCAGAGGAAAAGCCACATGGTCTGACTGGTGTTATGTGTATCAGGCAACAGATCTGTCTACTCAGATTTTCTCTTTCATCTGGTAGTCACGGCAGAGAACGTGACCCTTTGCCCAGGAGCCCACTACCTTTAAGGTCTGGAGTATCTGGGGGCAGAAGTGGGATGTCTTGTACCCTGCTGAGCAGCCTGGCATCCTTGCAAATAAGTGACTTGACGAGCCTGACCAACCCCCACTCTCAGACATTTGTTAAATCTTAGGCAAGTCACAGCATATCGCAAGGCCTTGCTTTCTTCCCTAAGCTGTAAAATGGGGGTATCTCCACACTGCCCACAAAGGCAGAGGGCTCTTAGCTGGTTCTGAGGTGCTTTCACGTCCACGAGCTAAAAGAGAATGGTTGGTTCTAGGTGAAATGAGGAAGGTCAAGTTTGTCATTGGCCTCTCCAACATTCTCTTTTTTGTGCCCTTTCTTGGTTCATCCTTCTACTGGGTGCTCTCAATGTCAGTCCTCAGGTGAGGCAGAACAGCTGACTACTCCCACACACCTTGGTACTGTGACTCAACAGGTCCTTCCCTCTGGGGTGGAGTCACCTTTTTATAGAGGACCAGAGGACAAGGCAAAATTCAGCCAATGGGGTGGAATGGTAATGATGGAATTTCAAGCATCAAGAGGTGATATATCTGCAGGGCCCTGCTTTGGGGGTCTTATGAAGCTGGTAGGGAAATTCTGTCTCCTCAAATGCCATTAGGAGGTTTCAAGAGTAAGGTCTTGGATGGTTTTTCAGCTAAAAGGCTTACCTTACTAATGACAAAAAAAAAAAAAGAATAATCATGTTGGCACAGTGCTTTCTACTTTAAACAGCTTACTCACTTACACGTTATCTTTACTATCTTCATTTTTATGGAGCAGGAAACTGGGGCTCAGTGAGGTGCAGAGACATGCCCAGAGTCCCACAGATCCCAAGCGGTGGAGGCTGGGACTCAAACACGGGACTTCTGACTAAACCAAAGCCATGGACACATTCAAAGGCCTTGAGAAAGAGAGAGATGAGCTTGAGAACAACAGGGAGGAAACTCTTGGCTTTGCATGCAGGCCAAGACTAGAAGTGGTCCCATTAGAATCTGGTTCACCTGTGTTCCATTATTCAGAAACAGCCATCGCTGGAAAACCAAGAGATCCAAAAAGGAAGTCAAATAGAACCAAATGAGGCTGATCCAGAGGCCTTTTTCCAGCCAAGAGTTGAAAGCCTTGCTGATAATACTTGACGATCACACACAATTCTTTCACTCTACTTTCAACGATGTTAAATGCTTTGGAGGATGCAGGGGGTGGAAAGGAAAGGGAAGGGGAGGGAGGGGGAAGCTATTTCACTTGCATCCACTCAACTGAAGCATAGTCTAGGACAGAGAGTGCCAAGGATCGCCCCTCCTCGGCCCTGGTCTGAGCTGGGCACTTATGGTTCATGCACTTCGTGCAAGAGGGTGCTAGCCAAAGTGCGTCACAGACTGATTTTCAATTAGGACGATGGGATTCAAAGCCTCTTTGCCTGTTTAGTTCTAAATCTGACACAGTATACTTAGTAGAAAGAGGAAAAGAAGAAATTAAATATTTTGAAAATTGTATAAGTTAAACCTCTATAGTTACCAGAATTATCCCCACAGCATTTCTAGGTTTGAGGTGTTCCGTACCACTGCAGTTTTATTTTTTCCCTTTTTCCCAAGCACACATAACACTGTGCTACGGCGGGGCGTGGGCTCTCACTGTCCCCTCTTCTCACACACACACACACACCAGGATGCTGTGGTCAGGGGGCTTCTCACCAACGTCCTCCCATGCCTTCGGGGTGTAGTTGGCCCTTGGCCTTCAGGTGGAAAGGCAGGGTCTCTGGGCTGGATGGGGGGGTCTGTGCAGGGTTCCCACCTCGAGGAGCAGCCTGTTTGGGGCGCTGCCTGCCCCACCCTTCATTTAGGGGCAGACTGTTTTGGAAGGCCACGACTTCTAGAGACAGTGGGAGCCTGGTTTTGTTTTTCTGCAGGTTAGTGGTAATATTGCTTCATTCGCAGCTGCTGTGGGCCTCGAGATTCTCCCAGAAAAGTCCCTGCAAATCCCACCAAATCGCAGCGGGAGATGTTTGGTGGCATGGGTCTGAGGTAAATCTAAGTTTCATAAAAAGAAAAAGGAGATTCTATATACATTTAGTATGAGTGTCCAGATCTACTATATGTATATAGATGCATAAATATATATATACACACACACCTACAGACACATACATACATATATGTGTATATATGTACACACGCATATATACACACACACATATTTATGTATGTAGAGAGAATGTCGAGAGAATAGTTTTCCAGTGATGATATGCAGGCAAAGCCATTTAACATTTTGCCATAATCTTAGGAAACGCTCTGTTGGGGCCGCTCCTGCTCCCGCTCTCGCTCTCCTCTGGGCCTCCATTTACCCCCCTGAGGGCTGGATGCCAGCTGTGGCTGGCGCCAGGGCCGCAGCTCTGCATAGACGTTCTTTCAGGCCTACGTTCTGGTCTCTGCTGGACAAGGCCAGGAGCACTGGGAAGGACGCGGAAGTCACAGAGGCCACCCTTGGCCGTAGTGCGCCACCGTGAGCCAGGGCAGTGCCACCCCAACCTGTTGGTCACATAGTGCCTGATTTGTCCGCTGAGCTGTTGGGGAACATCTTCTCGGTGGGCGTCACGGCCGGGCTGCCCACACCTGAGCTGCTGCTGCTGCTGGACCGATGCTGGACCACCGGCCGCACAGGCCGCATGGGGGGCGGGCGCAGCTGGGCGCCAGCCAGACGGGCGGACAGGGCTGGCTTAAAGGTGGTCATCATCTCAGTGGAGGAGCTGCTGCTGCGGCGCATAGCGGCGTCGGGGTCGCGGATGACGATGGTGTGCAAGGGGCTGGCGGGCTCTGAACTGATGGGGCCCGGCGGGTTCTTCAGGGGCTCCAGGGTGTCCAGCACCACATCTGGCGCCTGCTTGACCGTGTTCTGCCTCTCGAGTTCCCGCAGCTCGTGCAGAGCCGTGCTCATGGTCTTCTCGATGTCCTGAGGGCACAGAGAGCTCTGGTCAGCAGAGTCTGAAGGCGTGGGGTCCGATCCTTCCTCAGCAGCCTGTGGGCTTCTGAGGGAGGTTTTCCCAGGGGCTGGATGGCTGGGATGGAGATGAAATCCCCAGGGTGTCACCAACTGGGGAATCCATGTGGCTGTAGCCTGCACACAGCCTCAACAGGAAGCTGACTTAATGAGGGCAAGTCAGACCACTGATCAAGAAAGGCAAGCCCTGGAGTCACAGACATGGGTTCAAATTCAGGCTCTGCCACCCCCTTGCTACAGGACGTAGGCAAATTACCTCACCTCTCTGAGCCTCAGATGACAGATCATTACCATACAGACCTCATAGGCTCGATGAGCATATTAAGTGGCATGGTCCCTGTGACATGACACCTGGCAAACAATAAGCGCTCACAAACCATGACAATCACAAGGGCTAACACTGAGCACCAAGCCAAGCCCTTTCCATGAATAATTCATTCAATTCGCACGTTTACGAGGCAGGAACTACCGTTAAGCTCATTGCACACGGGAGGAGACAGAAGCTCAGACTGGCTCAATAACTTGCTCAAGGTCAAACATCTGGTTAGTAGCACAGTCCAAGTCTCAACCCAGGCAATCTGTCTCCAAAATCCATGCTGCTAACCATTATTATTACTTTAACAAAATCCTTGCCCACAGGAAAATTCCTTGGAGGTTACATATCAGAATGTTCACCCCCAAATGATGGGGCTGTTACTTTCCTCTCGGTATCATAATCAGAAAATTTTGTCTTAAAAAATGGAAGTCTTTAAAAAACAACAAAAATCCTTATCTGCCTACTTAATTCCTGGGGAAGTTGTAATATGTAAGCTAATAGGGATGACAGTGTTTTCAATTGACACAGAGAGAGAGAGAGAGAGTAGTAGGGCCCTGGGACCTCCCGGTGAACAGAGGGGCTGCTTTGTCAGCCTGGGGCTCATCTTTCCATCTTTCCATCTTTCCAAAGCCTCCGTTCCCCCTCCAGCCAGGAGGGGGCGCTGGATGTCCGCATTTAACCTAGGAGCCCTGGGTTAAGGTATAATAAGGCTGGGACTTCTGAGCGAATACAACTCTGCCACTCGCAAATCTCAGTCGCACCATTCTTTGTTCATCTGCTGAAAGCCCACAAGTTTACTGTGAAAATGGAATGAGATAATGGATGTGATGGAGCTCTGTGACTGCCAATGGCTTTTACGGTCCCTTTAGCCAGAGTCCTTGGTTCGCACAGGGCTTTACAGGGACACCTCCACATCAAACATGCAAGAGGGGCTGCTCAGGCCCAGCTGGGCCAGAGCCGCACTGGCTTAGCCATTGAGGGGACAATTAGGGATACTGCTTAAAACCACTGTTGGAAGGTCTGTGTACAGCCTCAGGGACAATGATGACTATTAAGACACCCTGCTCTTCTGCCCTGGGGCAAATCTGGAAAATCTGCAACTCCAGCCAGACTGCTGGCTTTGGAGCTTGGAGATGTCCTGACCACCCCCTCCATACCCACCTCCTCTTTCGTCTCCTCTTCTCCTCCTGTTGGCAGGCGACCTAATTCCTGTCCTGGGACCCCACGACAGGCTCCAGTCTAGCCACAGACAAGGTCCCAGTCTATCCTTTTTGCTTCGTGAAGAGACTATTGGTAATTACCTAATGGCTAACTAGCTAATATTAACGTAAAGCTAATATTATGCTTCCCCATGACATTTTATCCTTTGTCCCACAATACTGGCTGCTTCAGGAAGGGGTCTTTTGAGCCTTTATCCAAAAGGATTAGCTGTGGGGATTTTCTGCGTGATGGGAGAGATGGCTGCCCTCTTTCCACTCTGCTCTCTCCCAGCGTTGCTGTGGTAAAGCCTGCTTTCAACACCCCACTCTGCTTCAATTAACTCCTCTAGTTACATCACTCCTCTTTGTTTGCTCTACTCTAGTGTGAGCTGAAAGGTAGAACTTCAATAAATAAAATGCAATTATCGCCCCTCTACCACCATCCCTCCCACCACTACCACTCTTCCCTGGCAGAGTGTGAACCAGAAAGACAGAAAGCTGAGAGAAAGGTCAGCTGAGTAGTTTAGGCATGAGCCTGGCATTAGGGGTGAGCCTGGCGTTAGGCATGAGCCTGGCATTAGGCGTGAGTCTGGCATTAGGTGTGAGTCTGGCATTAGTCTGAGAGGTGAGGCCATAATATCCAGAAGGGAGCTGAAGAGAGGTGCTGGGGGTGGGGTGGATGACAGACTGCAGGGGAAAGTGAGCACTTTTCACCTCCTCCCAAATTACATCTTCTCACCTTGGATGTCATTGTGGCAAAGTTCCCCAAACAACCTCTTCACTGGGTTCAAATCTAAGTCCTAAGGGACATTTTGAGACCAGAGTATTTTGGGTAACTCCATGGACTACTTGGTACTTCCCTGCCACAGCTCCTGTTTGTAGCCTGCAAAGTCAGCACCAGTACTGAGCAGACTGGAGGCCATCTAGCGCCCCCTTCTGGCTACTTACATATTATCTACCAGGCTTTCCTATGTCACCTCTGTGAAAGGAGCTCTTGAAAGGCAGCTATCAGATTAGAGTGTGTGTAGACATGTTTATGAAGGGAAGAAAACTCATATAACTTTCCCCAACTGTATCCTTTAGGCTGGTCTTGTAAATGCTCTGTGGATAAAACGCAAAGAAGTCTAGGTGGGGGGTGTGCCCTGTTCTCTTTCTTGGGTATTCATTCACAAGGCACATTAACATACTTAAAGGTTCTAAAAAGTCTTGCAGACAAGCCTTTCAGCTTTGTTGACCCCAATACACACTTTCCCTCATTAGCATCCTGTGAACTAATCTGTTGTGGGAGCTACTTTCAGAATCACTGGCTCTAGGCCAGGCCTCAGGGAGCCACTCCCCACCATGGCCCTTGGTGGAGCTCCCAGGTGACAGTGGATGCTGGAGTGATGCTCCCCAAGAGGACAGCCTTCAGAATGGAAGGACTGGCAGGTCCCCTTCTGCAGGACCATGCCGAGGTGCTGATCTTCAGGTGTCTTTTGGGAGTGGGCACCAGGACATGGGGCCACGGTAGACCCCGTGGGTGCGAACAGGAGTTCCAGTTGCCAGGTGAGTTGTCTCTGCTCTGGTTTTCTCCTGGAACTTTTCCTGGCCTCTGGAACACAGGGCCCAAGCCCACACCTTTCCCCTTCCCCTTGTACCAGGGATTCAAATGCCGCTAAAGAAAATTCTCACAGCCAAGAAGGTTCTGGCAGCACTTCTTACCTTCACTGAGAGCTAACACAGGGGAGCAGGCACAAAATAGGCACCCAGGCCTAATTCCAGAGAGAAGAAATAGAACTTTTTGGAAATATGATAGAACTATCCAAAACACATGACACCAGAGTGCAAATTATTAAACAAAACAAGTTGTTTCCTAAAAATGTGTTAAAGAAATCTGTTTGGTTTGTTTGGTAAATATAAAAAATCACACAGCTTTCTCATCCAAATTTTTTAAAACTTAAGAAAAACAAGAACAATTCTCAGCACTTTGGAAGAGCCTAGAAGATTCTTCCCTTCCAGCTTCAGCTGTGTGCTCCCCTGTCCTTTGAATCTTGGGTCACATCTACCTCCCCTCCCGGAAGTCTCTCCCCGCTATAAGCGATCCCCACATCCTAGGCTCTCAGAATACCACGGACCACTTTTCCAAAGCACCTGGCCCGACTGCCATTTCACAACTGTGTTAATGGTTAATGTCTCTCTCTTCTCTAAGCTCCCCAAGGGCGGGGCCTGGGTCCATTTCAGGTCATCATTGTACTCTCTGTGCCTAGCACTTGACTGTCACACGACAGATGCTCAGTGGTTATTCATGAATGAATGAATGGACAGATGAATGAATGAACAGATGAATGAGTGAATGAATGAACGATTCAGTTATGCCATCTTGTGTGACACCTGCCATTACTACATCCCCATTATCCACCCTTTCCTTTACAGGGAGTCCCTCCTCCAGCCTTGGAGACTGGGTGGGGAGGGGGGGTCTTCAGTCTTTACAGGGTCCCAGTCAGCAGCTGCACCCATCCAGCTTCCACTCCCATGGGAGGCCAGCAGGCAGAGGGGAAGCCAGCTCACACTATCTTTCCTGTGTCCTGACTTAGCCTTGAGACTGGCATAAAGGACAAAGTGGCTTCCCAGTCCACAACTCCCCACCCTGCTGCCCCTCTGGGGGTCTCCGTTGGCCCAGCCTGCTTTCCCGCTGGCCCTTACTTCTGCCAGGGCCTCAGCCTCCAGGGACTTGTGGTCCCCCAGACTGCTGTGCCTGGTGGAGCCGCACGTCGACCTCGAGTGCCCTTCGGAGAGCGCCTTCTTGTCAGGGTAGTTGATGCTCCCGGCGCTCCCGAACGTCGCCATCCTCCGTTTCTCTGGGCTTTCGATCCTGCCCCGCGTGAGGGGGATTTTGTGAGGGCTGCTGGGGCAGGCGGCGGCCCGGGGCGGCGTGTCTATGCTGGGGCCCAGGCCCCGGGGCGGGCTGTGCGTGTCGCCCCCACTTCGGCGCCTGGGGATAGCTGCTCCATCAGATCGTAACCGCACTCTGCAAAGGAGCCGGGGGCGGGGGCATGGGGCAGAGACAACCCTGGCAATCAGAATGCGTCAGTCAACCCCTGGGCCAAGAACTACACACTAGACTAGGGAGCGGTATAGTAAAGCCTCCTGCAGCCAGACTCCCGGATTCCACAGTGAAAGCACCGGCTAAGCACGGACCTCCCCGGTGGATGGCAGGCTTAATCTGCACACAGGAAATCAGGGCTAATTACACAACGAATCTTGGCAACCTCTTAGATCAAAGCCAGGAGGATTTCAACCTGGGAACGCTTTGGTGAGGGTTAGTTGGGTTCGCGGTAAGTTCTCAAGCAGTTCAGACATTGCCATGATGCTGAAGGGCTTCTAATCCGTCTGAAGCACTGAGGCTTGACTGTACCAACAGTTGCCAGCTCCCCGTAAGCCCAGGAGGACCCCCCTGGGAACAGGACACAGTCCAATATTGTTACCCACCCCCATCTCCCCCCAAAGGGCTACTTCTAGGAGGGTTTCCAGATCTTGCAAAACTAGTCATTTAAGAGGAAAAAGTGCATCACCAAACATGCCTTCCATGCATTTGGACACTTTTCACCCTTCAGGGAGGCTCTGGTGGAGTGAAAAGGGGCCTAGAATGTCTATTAAGAGGCTGAGTCCTTATCCTGTCAGTCACAGAATTTCTGTGGCCTCTTGAAGACCCATTTTATTAATCTGTTAAATGGGCATAATATTCCTTGCCCACCTTTGGGGGAGGTTCAGTGAGCGTGGAAGCACTTTGAAGATTAAAGGTTCCACCCCAGGAGATTGTGCCGCACCCTCTGGAGGTCACTAATGATTCTAAAATACAGCTGCAGGGGAGGAAGGCTGCATTGTCGGGAGGGTGGGGAGGAGGGACAGAGTGTTGGAATGGATTGTGATCAGGGGACCAAGTTCAATGTGGTCAGCAGCGCTTTAGATCTTAATGCCACCAGCCAAGCTAAGCACCGCTTGTGGGTAACCCGACAGGACCAAAGCAGAGGTATTAGAGAGAAAGAGGTATTGAGAAAGGAAGAAGAAGAAAGTAGAAGAGGGAGGGGAGAGGAGGAGGAAAATCGAGGCAGGAGAAGATATCTCCTCCCTAGGAATCAAGGGACCGTGGCTTTGCCATCTACCTACCCCTGCTTTCCACTTTCCCTCCCAATTCTACCATCTGTCACAGGGACCTGAACTATTTGCTTAATGGAATAGAATATGCTGACAGGAGGCAGTGGGACTTCTGAAATAAATTCATAAATGTATGTTCCCATTTTGACTGCATTTTTGGCTCCATTTGAAAGTGCCCACATGTATGGGTTGGTCCCATGACCTCCCCACCAAGAAAATGAAGAGAATCTGATTAAGAAAGCAGTGAGAACCTGTCAGCTTTTTTTTGTCTTTTCTTCTCTTTTCCTCATTTTTTAAAAAACAACCACATACTTTGGACTACAGCTGTGTGCAGATTAAGGAGCAGAGCTCTTGTCTTGGCAGAAAGGCCATGTGACACGGCCTGGCGCACACAGGGGGAGTGAAGAAATTGGCAACTGTGCTCCCACCAGATAAGCAGGTGGAGTCGACTGCCAATGTTCCCCGTTTTCGAGGGGGTGTGAGTTTTCTGTTTGTGCCGCACCCTTCAGGGAGTACATGAGCTTTACATTTTTAAATATAACTCCTTAGGTCTTCAGCAGAAAGTGGAGGAGGTGTAAGAATTAGAGACATGTTGGAAAAATACTTGCTAATTTGTACCTCTCTTCCCCCCTTACTATTATTATTTTAAATAAAAACTGCTGATTTGCCAATATATGTCTCTCTTCCTCCTTCTCCCCCAACCCTTCCCACTTAGCTGGACTGTTTTACACCTGGCATGCTTAGACCAGGGCCAGCCGACCCACCCAGGTGTGCCCGATATCACCTGTGGGAAACAAGGAGCCACAACAGCCTACTTTGCTCCCTTCTGCCCCCTTGTTTCTCCCAAATCAGATCCCAGCAAGCCTGGCACTTAGCAGGGAAAAAAATGAATCTGTGTTTCCTACCGGCCCATCACCCCCCCAAAGCCGTAATCCGAGATGTGCTCCGTGGGGGACTGGAGGTCGTTTTTGGAGGAGGCCTTGTCATCCAGCAGCGGCCCACTGCTGGCCTCGCTGTCCGCCTTTTGGCTCAGGCTGTCGGAGAAGGCGTCATCCCTGGGGAGGAGGACAGATGTGAACTGGGAGTTCTCCAGAGGACCCAGGATGTGCAGGGCTCCGAGAGACCTGTCTGAGGGGCTGAATCAGCTCCCACCTCATGGTTAACTTATGCCCACAGCTCTGGGTGAGCCGCTGCCCACTCCCCATCTCATGGCCATGCGTGCCCACTGCCACCCTCCTAAATCAGTTTCCCCAGCAGAACTCCCTGCTCTGTCCCATCACCCCACGCCTACCTTCTCCTCTCCCCTCCTCTAGGTTCTTCCCTCCCAGGATCCTCAGGGTGAGGAAAAGCTAAATGCTGGAGGGTATATTGAAGAGATGGGGGAGGACCCTGCAGGCTGAGCACTGAGTGACGAGTCTCTATGGGGCTCCATGAGAAGTGGTTTAGGGCTCAGTGAGGGAGGAAGAAGGTGCTGCCATCCCTCCCCTCCTCAGCCAAGGCTTGGGACACCTGTGAGGTGGCTTGAACTTGTTGGAGTTCCCTGCTAGCCTCCTTCCAGTCCCCTCTCCCTTCCAGTTCCTTGTCCCTGTCCACAGAGGCTGGGGGACATCAGAGTACCAAGAGCCCTCCACAGGGGGGCATTCCTCATGGGGTTTGCCTGTTCCTGGAATTTTCTCAGACCATCCCCTCTGCCCTTCCCTTTGCTTCCCTTCCCTTTAGGTCTAGCTTGGTGGCTGCGTCCTTGATCAATCAGTTCCACCTGAGCCTGAGTAGTGCTCAGAGGTACCCTCAATGGCTTTCAAAGAATGGAAGGTGTAGACTATCTGGGCCTTCTGGTCAAGCTAGTATTTGGGACACAGGGTTTTTTTTTAAATGCCTGATGTTGTTTAAAAGAAGACAGTACCCACAGATACAGAGAACAGGTAAGTGGTTGCCAGAGATGGGAGGTGGGGGGTGGTGGTGAAATGGGTGAAGGGGGTCAAAAGGTACAAACTTTCAGTTATAAAATAAATAAGTTCTGGATGTAATGTACAGCATGGCGACTATAGGAAATAATACTGTGCCATGTATCAGAAAGCTGTTAAGAGTGTAGATATTAAAAGTTCTCATCACATATGAAAAAGTTGTAACTATATGTGGCAATGGGTGTTAACTAGATTCATTGTGGTGAACATTTTGCAATGTATACAAATATCAGATCATTATATTGTATACCTGGAATTAATATAATGTTATATGCCGATTATTCCTCAATAAAAAAATAGTACCCTATCAACTCGAAATGCGGGGATGGTCATTCCTGCCTGTCCCCTGAGAGTGCCACCTCAGGGGTGGAGAGTGGTGGGCAGTTAAGGGTTGGGGGGTTGTCCACTGGCTGCAGGGCAGGCAGGGAGGTGAAAGTGTACGGCAAGATCCAGTGGACGCTGAGAACCAGGGTGGGTGACAAATGCTCTGGGGCTGTCAGGTAGGTAGGACCAGCCAAGGGCATCAAATGCTATCTCTGAAGCATCAACAATTTGCTTATTTGTTAAAGGGGTTACCATTTAAGGGGATCTATTCTTATAAAAGACCAAGAGTATTACATCAGAGAGAACATACCCCTGGCATACACCCCAGCACTGCCCTTCCTGTGCCCATTCTAGACATCACTAGTCGATGATGGTATTCTTCAAAGTAGGGTCCACTCACATGTCCTGTACGACTATGTACTGATGTGGGATGAGTCCATCCACGCCGTTGTGACGCCCCTCCCACCAGTCCTCTGAGGCGCGGTGGTACAAGAGCAGCGAGGCCCCCTTCTTGAAGGACAGCTCACGCGGGGACCGCCCCACATAGTCAAACTTGGCGATGGCCTCAATTTGTTCCACTTCTGGAAGGAAAATAAAGAGGAAGCGCATCCACAAGGTCAGGGTAAGAGCAGCCCAGGGGCCTGGCTCAGGTGGCCGTCGCTCCTTGGGGCAGCAGCACAGACAGCACGCCTGACCCCCAGCCCTCGCTGGGGTCAGAACATTGGGGCTCTAGGCTCAGATCCACTCTCCCAGGCTGTGGCCTCAGGTGGGCCACCTAACTTCTCAAAAAGAGAAGTGGGGGGCTGACATACCACACCCTTAGTTTCCACTGCCCTGCTTATTCTCCATTTTAAAAACACTCATTAAAACATTATTATATGAAATTTCTTTTCCTTCTACCCCTTCATACGAATTCTGTTTCCATTTTTCCATGAATCATTTCCTTCTTTGTCCACTTACTGTCAATGGTTCTTACCTTTTGGGAAGTTAAACAAGTGATGTATGTGGATGTCCATTTATGTAAAATGTTGTATTCATTTTTAAGACTACCCAAAACTGTTTAAGGGTTCCTCACAGCTCACCATTGTGGATTGAACTGTGCCCCTCCAAACTGCTTGTTGATGCACTAACCCCCAAAGTGATGGTATCTGGAGATGGGGCCACTGGGCAGAAGTTGAGGTTAAATGAGATCAGAAGGGTAGGGCCCACATGCGGTAGAACTGGTGTCCCTCTAAGAAGAGGCAGATGCACCAGAGATCTCTTTCTCTCCATGTGCACACAGGAAAGTCCACGTGAGCACACAGGGAGAAGGCAGCTCTCCACAAGCCAGGAGGAGAGACTTCCCAGAAACCAACCCTGATGGCATCATCATCTTGAACTTCTATAGCCTCCAAACTGTGAAGAAATAAATTTCTGTCGCTTAAGCCACCTGGTCTGGGGTATTCTGTCACAGCAGCCAGAGCTGACTAATGTGGTCATCCATGAGCTTAACGTTGGGGGAGGAAGAATTCTTACTGGGGCTGCAGCTCAGCATATCTCTTTGCACACGTGTATTTACCCATCAAACATTTACTCTTCTCTGGTCAGTGACAGGCCATGACTTGGTTAAACAATGAGGATCTATCTGGCTCTTGCCCTTGAGCCACTGCCACTGCCAGTGCCCAGTTCCGTCACCTCTTGTCTGGACCTCAGGCAAGTTACCTAACCCCTGTACACCTCAGCTGCATTGTCTGTAGGGTTGTTAGAAGGATTAGAAGATAATGGATAAAAGATAGCATAGTACAAACATATATTAGGTATTCAGCTGATAATGGGTTTCATGATTATGATTGTAATTACTAATGGATTTAGCCTATGGGGTAGGTCCAGACAAGAAATCTAAGCTGCAGAGAGTTTAAGTGGTTTGTCTAAGACTGTACAGCTAATGATGTTTGGAAAAGAGACTGTTTAGAGAACAGTAAAAGTTATGCCTGTGATTGATTTAACCTGTGTTATACTTATATCCTAAGAGGTGTCCATACCTGCTAGAAAAAACTGTCTATAGGTATTAATGCATTTACATTTTAAAACCACAAAAATGTTTAACATTGTACAGATAATACATGTAGGTATAGTAAATTATAACAGAATAAAAGAGTAACAGAAGTGACCCCTGCTCTCCCTAGCCTGCAGATGCCTTCCCTATGCTGAGCATCCCTGGGCCTCCTATCTGCTCCATTTCTGATGGATTATCTGCATCTGTTCTTTCAGCCCTCTACCTGTCCATTGTGGAGACCTTAGGCAACTTAGTTCTCCTTTCTGAGCTTCAGTTTCCTCGTCTGTAGAACAGGAATGAATAAAATCAGTCCCTATACCTTACAGGGCTATTATGAGGATTAAATGAGCTACTGTACATAAAGTGCTTACAGCAGTGTGGACACATAGTTAACTCATATGAGACTTGCTTGTTGTCACCAGAGCTAATGAACTTTTAAGGGTCGGGGTAGAGTGGGAAATCAAAGAGCAGAGGGAGCACACCCCTTGCTCACTGCCCCCACGAATCCCCACCATACACGTGTGCTAGTGCTCTTTCTATGAGCAGCTGGCTGGGGTTGACTGTGTCGGGGTCCCCAGGAGATGCAGTCGTCTTTGGAATATGCAGTCCTCAGTGCCTGGGACAGCCTTCTGCAGGGAGCAGGCATCAGACAGTTAAGTCAGCTTTTCCCAGCTGGCTCTCTGACAGATGTCTTAAGTGCTATCCTAACAGTTGATGCAAAATAACAACACAGCTAAAGGGGTCAAATAACTCTGATTTTGACTCATAGTCACCTTCTCAGTAAAGTGGGAAGGTCTTTGTCCTCTGCTGCGCAGCCATGTACTAGCACTGCCTGCCAGCCTCGTTAAAGAGAACAAAAAGGCCAGAGGGTTTGCAGACCAGGAGCTCAACCCATCTGGCTGCTGCTCTCTGGGCTCTCACCCCAGGGGCTTCCTTTGAGCTGATTCAACTGATAAGGTAGCTGACTTGAGCAGAGGTTTGCTTGTGCTCTTGCTCAGAGGAGCATGGTGGGGTTGCCTCCTGGTTCTAGGTCCTGTCTTTCCCATCTCCAGAGCCCCCGCAGTCACTGGGGGCAGTCTGGTGCTAGGGGTTGGGGGTGGGGAGGCGCAGGAGGAATGAGGAATGAGAAGTGGAAAATGTAAGAGAAAGAAGAAAATGGGAGGAGCAGGCCGAGCCACAGCTGAGAGTGAACACTTGTGTTTGCAGATGTGATTATATAAGTGTGTGGTAGGAAGAGTAAGAATAGCTACCAGTTATTAAGAAATTCATTATTTGGGTTTATCATACGTCAAATAGAATATGTGATTCTCCCCTGTACCACTCTCCCACACACCCCTCCCCAGACTTACTTAATTCCCTCATCTTCCCCATCAGAAGTCACCTTGCTTATAGTCACCTTGCTTACTGGCTCAGCCAAAGCCTTGTTGCTCTCAAGCAACCCACATCTAACCCATCAGCAACCACTTTGAGTTGTCCCCTGAGTATGACCAGTCTCACTACCTCCACTGCCACTGTTGTCCCTCTCCCTGGCTTCCTTGCTTGCTTTCTTTTAAAAAAATATATTTTATTGATTATGCTATTACAGTTTTCTCATTTTTTTCTCCCTTTTATTCTCCTCCACCCTACACCTCCCCTTCCACAGCATTCCCCCTCTTAGTTCATGTCCCCAGGTCATACATATAAATTCTTTGGCTTCTCCATTTCCTATTCTATTCTTAACCTCCACCTATCTATTTTGTACTTACAATTTATGCTTTTTATTCCCTGTACCTTTTCCCTCATTCTCTCCCTTCCCCCTCCCCACTGATAACCTTCCATGTGATCTCCATTTCTGTGATTCTATTCCTGTTCTAGTCATTTGCTTAGTTTTTGTTCTTGTTCTTTTTAGGTTTAGTTGTTGATAGTTGTGAGTTTGCTGTCATTTTACTGTTCATAATTTTGATCTTCTTCTTTTTCTTAGATAAGTCCCTTTAACATTTCATCTAAAAGGGCTTGGTGATGATGAACTCCTTTAACTTGACCTTATCTGAGAAGTACTTTATCTGCCCTCCCATTCTAAATGATAGCTATATTGGATAGAGTAATCTTGGATGTAGGTCCTTGCCTTTCATGACTTTGAATACTTTCCAGCCCCTTTTTGCCTGCAGGGTTTCTCTTGAGAAATCATTTGATAGTCTTATGGGAACTACCTTTGTAGGTAAGTCTCCTTTTCTCTTGCTGCTTTTAAGATTCTCTCCTCTTTAGCCTTGGCTAAAGTAATTATGATATGCTTTGGTGTATACTTCCTTGGGTCCAACTTCTTTGGGACTCTCTGAGCTTCCTGGACTTCCTGGAAGTCTATTTCCTTTGCCAGGTTGGGGAAGTTTTTCTTCATTATTTTTTCAAATAAGTTTTCAATTTCTTGCTCTTTCTCTTCTCCGTCTGGCACCCGTATGGTTCAGATATTGGGATGTTTAAAATTGTTCTGGGGGTTCTTAAGCCTCTTCTCATTGTTTGAAATTCTTGTTTCTTTATTCTGTTCAGGTTGAATGTTTATTTCTTCCTTCTGTTCCAAATTGTGGATTTGAGTCCCAGTTTCTTTCCCTTTACTGTTGGTTCCCTGTACATTTTTCTTTATTTCACTTTTCATAGACTTCACATCTTCCTCCAATTTGTGACCATACTCAACCATTTCTGTGAGCATCCTGATTACCAGAGTTTTGAACTCTGCATCTGATAGGTTGGCTATCTCTTCATTACTTAGTTCTATTTTTTTTTCTAGAACTTGGATCTGTTCTTTCATTTGGATTATATATTTTTTCTCTGCATGCCTATTATGTTGCAAGGGGTGAAGCCGTAGGTATTCGTCAGGGTGGGGCAACCCATGTTGCTGCGTTGTGGTGCTCTCTGTGGGGGAGAGGTCCAAGAGGGAACAATGCCACTTCCTCAGCTCTTGCCCAGCTTTCAGTCACTTCCCTGACTACCATAAGCAAATTGGGCCCTTCTGGTGCTGATTCCTGGGTAGGTGGGCTTGTGTATGTTCTAGGACTCTGTGGGTCTCTCCAACAAACTCTCCTGTGAATCTGGGAGTTTCTTCTGCCACCACAACCCCCACAGATTTTTACAGCCAGAGGTTCTGAGGCTTTATTTCCCCATGCTGGAGCCCTTGGTTGCATGGTCTGTCTTGCTCCCCACTTGTTCCTCCCAATTTATCCATGTGCAAATTTGGGACCACCTGGTCCACCAGCCGCCACCTCACCTGCCCACCACCTGGTCGCACATCCTCTCCGCCCCAGCTGCCCATCTCTGCCCTTCCTACCAGTCTGTTTCTGGTAGGAAACATAGATGTTTCTTCTTTAATGCCTTGGTTGTTGGACTTCCATACAGTTTGATTTTCTGGCAGTTCTAGTTATTTTTTGTTTTTAAATTTGTGTTGCCCTTCGTTTGGTTGTGCAAGGAGGCAAAGTGTATCTACCTATATCTCCATCTTGCCTGGAAGTTCAAAATTCTCTCCTTGCTTTCATTCTTACTTGGGGAACCATTTCTCCCCACAGTAGCCAGAGGGAT